TATTTTTCCTCTTTTTCTTAATATTTTTGCTCAAAATACGCTCACACTGCATTTTTGATTACATATTTCGATAGAGCAACTAGTTTCACCAATAACTGTTTAGTTGCAAGTTTTTGAATGACTCTTTCTCCGTGAAAACCTGCAAACTATCAATTGGGCTGACCTTGACCAACCTTCAGTTTTTGGCATTCAACTCCACGAAATATTTACGTTTTCTAACTTTAGATCCCATATTCGTGATCAGAACAAAATTCTGAGCCAGAAAAGGTGTGTTTCGAAAATTTTAGCGGAAAAAAGTTTTTCGATGTTCCAAGAGACCTTTGCCCTTAAATTTTTCGATAAAAATCCAAATGCGATTTTTGGAAAAGTGAGACGGATAAAATACTCAGAATTTTACGCTGATTCTGAATACGTAAGTTTCATTGAGTTTTATTGGGGTGCTCGATACTAGCTTATCCTCCGCCATTCCTTCTGTACCTTTTAAAGATAAGTTTAATGCTCTTCAATGGAAGCGGTACAAAATTCTGAATACATGGTTAAAAGCTCCATTAAATGCCGATTATCAAACACTGTTGTCGATTCTTACAAACGTTTTTTTGAACCCAAGAAAAACTCTAAACATTTTATCTAGAAACTTACAATTCATATAGTAGCATCCTTTTCCATGTTCTTAGCAGAAGATCCACGGAGAGAGCTAACACTTTTTTAATTGAGCTACGATTGGTAGATGTGACACATAAAGAAAAATGTTGGTCTAGTAGTCTTTTCTAGCATATTCTCTATGCGGAATGCATAGTTAGAAAGAGCTGGTTCCAGATCGTAAAAATAGGTGATCAGGGTGAGACGCGGGCTTACAGTCCTTGTTTTCAGATAGAGTGACATTGTAGACTGTTCTGTTAATTCAAAATAATACTATTTTCTTAATTTAGAGTGCAAATCAAACAACTATACAATATATGTTTAGTGACGATGTAAATGAGCAACAACAACTCTTTTCTACATATTACAATCGGATTGCATTAATGCCAAAAATAACACGTGTTAAAAATATGTTACCAAATGAACTTGGTTCTAAATTACTACTTCGGGTATGTTACAGACACTTATACTCGTATATCTAATCAGAACAAGTACATATGCCTTTTTTTCTAGCTATTATGGCATTCTAGAATTGATACACAATTAATTGATGATAATATTTGTCAACTTGTTGAATCAATATGGTTAGAATCAATTGGTGATCTGCAACAAATGCTTAGCATTCAACCAAATGAAATCACATTAAAAAATGTATGTCTGTTGAGATAAAAATAAGTTTATATCATTTTAACGGCACCTCTTTCCAATTTTTCTGTAGAATAGTTTATCCTAAAGCCATGGCATTTATAGTATGAATAGATTTAATTTCGTAACGAAAAAGTTCAGCTAGAATCAATTTCATATAATACATGATTTTGACTCTATAGAGAGAGGGTACTACGGTGAAAAATGACTAAACTCTGTGGCAGACTTTCGATCAAAAGAACTCAGTGATAATGCTCAAGCAATTATATGTTATACCATATTATATCTATTACTTTTTTTTTATAAATTTTATTTATTTGAGAAAAGAAAAGGACATAGAACAAATGAAGACATTGATTTTATTATATATTCAGGAGGTATTTTTTCAAAATATACGTTGTATCGATTAGAGGAGCGAATTACGAAAACCGGGCAAAAAGCGAAGGTTTTTCAATGACTAAATTTTTAAAAAGATCGTACATTGAGACTCAAATGATGGTTTCGAAAATAAAAAGCCTCCTTAGTTCTACCTATGGTATACATGTCAGCCTTGTCGAGTGATTACTTTCAGTGAAAAACCTGCCACAAAGTTTATTCCTCAGTGTAACAATTGATTTTGAGATACATATTAGACTGAAGATGCCGCATTTTGATGAAGCTTTTCATAAGATATCTGTAAATGCTCGTCAACCGACGTTTGAGCGATTCCGACATTAGACACTACTTAATGTGACTTTTTTCCGATCATTCAAATGGAATAATTGTTCACTTCGATAACGATTAATAACGATGATAATAACAATTTCTTTGTCGTTCGATTAAGAATTGAATTATTTGGAGACCTGGTGGGTACAGATGCTAGCCGCGCCGCCGACGTAGCAAACTTTTTGAAAAAAAACAACTGCCGCCGCTCCCGAAGGTCGAAATTTCTGAAGAAATAAGCGCTACGTCCGCTGCCGAGTGCAAATTTCTTTTGCGTTCTTCAAGCCGACGAAAAGTCTAGCGGCTAACATGTCTGCTGGTAAGAGGAGGGTTAGCAGCAATAAGTGATGCACTTCGCGCAAATATCGGGATCGCTCAAACATCGTGATCGCCCAAATATCGGTCACTCAAATGTTGGATCGCACAAATGTCGGTTAAGCGTGCTTGCTGTACGAATGGGTGTCAAGAAGTGAACGATCTCTCATTTCACGCTATCTTACTGTGCCCGTGTGTCTTGAGGAGAGTCAGAAGGAATTCTATTTTGTGAAGGACATTTGACTCTACATTTTGGTGTATTTAACTCGAAATTGAAAAACGTCTCATCATAACCCTTTACCTCGGAAGGTATTTTTTGCGTGGACATCAGGGAGAGTCACATGAAAAGTACTGATTTTTTCGTTTTACATATTTTCTAACCTACCAATAAGATTCGTGATCACCAGATAAAACTGCACCTAATGATGTGCCTTTAAGCCAAAAATATAAAGTGCTGAAACTTCGACCTGATTTTTTCGATCTGAGCAAGTTTTCCCGGAGAAAAACGCAAAAACGCCCAAACTGACTTTTGAGAAAATCGTTCTAATCTTCTCGCAATTTTACTTTCCGATCTCAGCAATGTGATCTACAAAAAATGTAAAACGAAAAAATCAGTACTTTTCATGTCACTTCCCCCTGATGTCCGCGCGTGTGGACATTTCATTACTGGACACGATGCATCAAGACAATTTGACAGAAAATTTATCTTCTTGTGTAATTATAGAATAGATCCTTATAGTAATAGTTATCAACTATCACATCTGAAAACCCTTCTATGTAAATCTATGGAAAAAGCTTTTAAAAAAATTCGGAACTTTGTAATTCTTTAATTTCAAAAGTTAATTATTTCAGTCAAGATCCATAAAAAGAAAATTCTTTTTTTACTAATCGAGAGCTTATGAAACCTCTAAGGTAGGAACAAAATCCGATTCTGATATGATACTTCGTTATTTTTGTATATTGATCTTATCAATGTCCACTGATGTGGACATTCGGGGGTAAAGGATTAACTATCGAAAAAGGAGAAAGGGAGTACCCTAAGAAGATATTAGCTAGGTGGCCTGACGGTTTTTTGTCGATATATTCATTTGAAACTTATCTAATCCAGCGACTTACGAGGGAACACTTGGTGGCCTTCCCTCGTTAGTGCCCGCTACAAGATCCCCTACCGAAACAAATGTGAGCATGGTTATCACCAGTTTATAATTTATATAGGGATCCACACAAATTTTTCTTGTAGTCGAAATATCAAGGTGGAAAAGGCGACTTCTTGCTTTCTTAATATCACTCAGCATTGGAGAGCATCTCTCAACATCGGAGAGCATCGGACGCTGAGCCTCTCAAGCTTCAAGGACTCTGCATCTCAAGCATTTCAAGGGCTTCGGAAGCTCTTGGAGTCGCCTTTTCTGTCTTGCGAAATATTCTCATTATAAGATTGAATCCTTTTTGCCTGATATTATCGGATTCTGTTACAATTTTGCATTAACATAAATCCTAAATTTGTTTCGTCTTTTTATTAAGATAGTTGAAGCCGAAGCTATTTTATTAGAACAAAAACGTCTGCTAGATAATAATGAAAGCAGAATGTCCAATGAAATCTATTCAAAATTTTATTCATTTATTCCACATAATTCAAATTTTCAATTAGATTTAAATAATCGACAAATATTAAGAGAAAAAATGGATTTATGTCAAGTAAATAAATATTTATTGATTCTTAGCTATTCAGAAAAATTCTAAAAAAATTTTTTGTTTAAAGATTCTTCGTGATATGTTAACTGTAAATGAAATAACAAATTGGAATATAAAAGCGCCAATAGAAGCAAAATATCGTTCATTAAAATGTTATATAAAAACGATAGATAAAGATTCAATAGAATACACGAAAATAAGTAATATGGTACATTCATCAACCGATACGTATGTATCGATATATCAAATAACAAAATCAAAGACGATGTCTACAAAATTTTATTTTATATCCGTTTTAGAAATGAACAAGTAATTATTCACAATATATTTGATATAACAAGACAAACTGAAACAATTAATTTTAAAACAGATTTACACAATCAACGTTATCTGTTTCATGGTTCAAAATATAGTAATTTTCTCGGAATTTTATCACGGTAATTATAACAAAATCTTTTAATCTTATGGAAATATTTAACTATCATTTTATTTTTCTATATTTCATATGATAGAGGGTTATTGATGCCAAAAATAGTTGTTAATGAATTTGGTGGTTTAAGAAGTGATATTGGCCATCTGGGATATGGATTGTATTTTTCAGATTCAATCAGGTAAAATATTTTCTATTAATTAGTAATAATGAACAACATCTGATGCTTCGAAATGTCAGAAACATAGATACTAATAAGATGCCACTAGGAAGAGGAAGAAGGAAGAATACCCCACCTTGCAACTACCTTGCGGTGTAGGGTGTTGCCGAAGCAGTTTCGATAAGCCCGATATCTTCCCTACAGCTGATGATCTTCAGAGATGGTCATTCGTTCTTCTACTAGTCACCAAGCAAGCTGTAGCTCTGGACAGAAGACCAGTCTGACACAGAGTTCTTTTCGCCCAATTGCATGAGCTCCATACACACTCACTAACCACATACTAGCACCGAAGTACCGGTGTATGTCACAACGTAGTAAGCATGCTATCGGACGGGTGATCCGAGACAATAGCCATTAGTAACTTGTCCAAGGTTATTCTATGACTGGGTGGCGCCGAGGCTCGAACACGGTCCCTTTGAAGTACGTGTCGAACAACATAACCATTCAGTCATAGCGGCCTGGTGCCACTAATTCAAAGTTTCAGCACTATTTTATTTTTGACTTTTTTATACACCATTCGATAGAACTTATCGAGCCGATCAAGAATATGGTAGTTATAGCCTTCCTAGATCAAGTTTCCAGTAAAAACAGCTTGTTAGCATTGCTTCTACGAAGTAGAAATGTGAAAACTTCTACTGAACTATGATATAAAAGATGTATAAATAGAACAAAATTATATAAAAATAGCAGCGCGAGAGAGAAGCTTCTAATTAATAGCTTCTTTGTTCTGTTCATATGAAGAGATATGGTAATAATTTTTAAAATTTGTGTCCAACAACATCAGATCAATAGTGCACTATCTGTTATCAGTCGACATAGCATTCTCGGAAGCAGTTTGTGACACTGAATCAGAAAAAATACATTATGAGTTTTCAAACTGAAATTAGAAAAATATATTTGAACTTGTTGTAGCTGAACGACTTTTCGAAATTTTGAGTTTTCAAAGTTTTTGAATGTTTTTTATTGAAAACTCGGTCTGGGAAGGCTATAACTAACATATTCTTGATCAAGTCGATAAGCTCTATCGAATGGTGTATAAAAAAGCCAAAAATAAAATAGTGCTGTAACTTCGAATTAGCGACCCTTATATAGAGACGGTGGTTTCATGAAAAATCACTTTTCTTAGTATGAAATATTTTGATTTACGGGATACGCATATATGTACAGAAGATCAAGTGGAGTGTTTCCATTAAGGTTCATAAATAATGGTCATTTTATGGTGGAGTTGATGATTCTGTTGTTGCTGGTTAGCACTAACTATTGCTAAAAAAAACTTGTAAAAATTATCCACTTGAAACCGTTTATAACGAATATAAAATTCTTTCAATGTCTTTTTAGAGAATTCGTTTGAGTTTCATCTACATTTGTATGCAACTAAATAAAAGACCGTTACTGTAAGAAACAATTTGAAAGAGCTCAGACTAGGCCAGCGGCAGTGTACAAGTAGTGATTAGGGTTCAGGATAAACACTACTATCTGTTCTATTTACTGTTCATGAGGTACAGGGGACTTATTTTTTCCATTGTAGATTTACTGAAGGCTTCTGGAAAACCAACCTTGAACTTAATCGAAAACGTAAATGTTTTTCAAAGCCTAAAGATATCGCTCTTCATTTCTTATCTTCTCGTTGAATTGTAACGACCGATCTGAGAGAACTCGAATTTCTAGCACAACATCTTCTCAAAAAATGAAATGGGCATAGTTTTTGCTTAGGACTTACTTTTAGCTATGGTTTTTCTGTAAAACCAGATTTTCCATTGTGTACAGTACCCATTCCATTGAAAATTTGTTTGATCGAGCTCAAAGTTTTACTACAGACAGTAGATTTAGAAAAGTTCTGTTCGTTTATTAAAGACGTTGTTTCAAAGATAATAATCTGGTCTAATAAATTTTCAAATTTTAATTAAACGTGTGGGATTTTTCAAAATTATTTTTGTCAGAATGGATGGTGCGGCTAATTCAAAATTACCACAAACATTTTTCTTCAATGAATGACACATAGTTGGATAGAGCTCAATAACTTGAGTAGAAATATATATGTTTTAGCTTTATATAACACGTTTTTTATAGTCAAAAAATGGAAAAAAGTCGAAATTTCTATTTAATAAAATATGTTCTATAAAAAGGTCAAACGTTATTGTTTTGGATTCAGCATGCAAACTCTGTCCAGAAATATCAGTTCAGATTGAGAGTGTTCAGATGTATGGTCAGAAAATTTTTGAACCAACGTCGAACCTTGAAAAAGTCTTGAGAGTACATAGCAAAAGCTTCAAGTCTCGTTAGGTTAACCCTTTACCTGCGGGTCTTTTTTTAAAAGCACACGTTTTTCCACTTTTGGAGTTTTTGACCTCAAAATTCAACTTTTTCTCAACAAATCGTACATATTCAGATTCAGCGTGTCGAGCTCTATCAGAATATCGAAAAAATAAAAAGCTGGAAAAAACGAAGGTTCAAGAAAGAGAGCTTTTGGGAGAAAAGAGCCTGCAGTTTTTTACCGAAAGGAGATAGAATTCTGGAAAAAATATTTTCAAAATCTTTATCAAAAATGGATTTAGAAAATGTTTTGCCCGACGTTATAACTTGATTTTGAGTCGATGAAAATCGATGATCTTTCGAAATCTTTAGTTGATTTTCAGTTTGGTGTAAAACTTTCAGTCATTTTTCAACTTGAAAATTCGAAAAAAATTAAAATACTCGGATAGGATAGAGATACAGATCAGTCGATCCAGGTTTTGATCCTGATCTCGAATATGATAGTTTTATTGCTCAAAAGTAGAGTTCTGATGGAGAAAATTGAGAATTACGAGTTTTTCGCCTTGATTTAGAAAAAATGAACTTTCTCAGCAATGAAACAAAATTAGAGGACATGCATACATAACTTTTTAGAGAAGCATAGGCCGGAGCTTACGGTGAAAAAATAAAGACTCTATCTCTTCTCGTTTATAAGTCAACGATTTTTAAACGAAAACGAGAGTTGTTTTCCTCGTTCGAAAGACCATCGATTTTCACCGAATTAGAATCAAATTATAACTATGTAAAACACATTCTCCGAATCCAACATATTATACATGGTTAGAATCACTACATCGTTATACATCTATCCATGTAATAAAAGTGAAAAAAAGAAAAAGCGCACGAATTTTGAATTTTTGAAACCTTACAAAAAAAAGTGTTATGTAAAGCTTGCTTGGTGCAGTTATATTGAAATTGGATCTTCAAAAACTCTCGTATACATCACAGTACAGCATTGTATTGGTAAAATACTTAAATGATTTTTAACTTCGAAAATTGTGTTTATATTGACAGTATCTTTGGTTCTTTTTCAGTACATCGTTAAAATATACAGTTAAAAGTAGTCAAAACGGTAAACGTTTATTATGTATATGTAATGTAGCACTTGGAAATAGTGCAAATTATTATTCATATTCATGTGATTTAACACAACCACCGGAAAATTATCATAGTGTTCATGGTGTAAAATTGACAAATAAAGATCATTCAATGTTTAAAGTAAGTCATTTTTGCACAAGTAATAAATAATCCACCATTTTTTTTTCTTCTCTTTCTCTATAGGATAATGAGTATGTTATTTATAATCTCGATCAACAACGTCTATTATATATCGTTGAAGTCTCATGGAAACCACACGATATAATTTCAAATATTCCAGCATTATTACCAATTGTAAGAGATCAAACAGAAACACTATCATATCCACAAATGTCGATTCCTGAAAGTATACCGATAAGCAAATTACTAATAAAAATTATTATATTGATAATATATTTGCTTTAGTACCAGAATTAATTGAAGATGAAGCAATTCAAATTGCAGAACAAAATTATGGTCTAATATGTCCAGGTTCAGGTCAACGTTTACCATTGAAAGCATTCCATATACGAGCACAATTAGTCGATGTCACTGCAGAAGTAATATTTTTCTTACAATACACAGTGGGCATTTTTTCATTGAGCAGGCTGACATTTAGTTTTATGACTTAAAAAATGATTATTTTCGCATAATATTGTCTTATTATGCGTCAAATCTTAATAGAAGTAAGAAGAGTCAAATTCGAAAAAAAATTCTTTTCCAATGAAAAGTCTCTGAGGGGAACCCTTGTCCTGAATTTTTAGCAAATAATTTTTTATTTGTAAAACTAATAAGTGATACATCACTCGATGTAATTTTTCATGCGGAATCCGAATATATATAAATTGTTCAAGTAAAGTAACATATACGGGTAGAAAAGTCCAAGTTACCTAAAAAACAAAGGAGTTTTTAGAAAACCTGTAACTATCGGCAGAAAAAGTTGTAAGATTTTGTGAGTATACTACCGATACAGGATATACTAAAGAACATTTTGGTGAAAAAATAAGTAAGGTTGCACCTTCGCTAACTCTCTCGTTTTGATTGTATTGTACACGTCTGTTTTCCATGCGTTTTTCTTATATGACTGTGTTTTCTTTCTCGAATAATTCTACAAGGAAAAGTCACAGAGTAACAATTTTTACGCCTTTCAATAGCGCATTTATCGCTGTATATTTGATACTATTTAAATCACTGAAAAGCTCACTTTCGATTTTCGACCAAATGTTCGTCTACATGCCTACTGTGAAATATTAACACTTTTGACATGTTTTACACTTTATTAAAGATATTTTAGGTTGTTTTATACCAATTATATCATAATAATAGTTCCCGACCAATCGAGGCAAAATACGTGTTTCCGTTAGATGAACATTCAACTGTTTGTGCTTTCGAAGCATATATAAATAATAAAGTTATTGTTGGTGTGGTTAAAGAAAAAGAGCAAGCAAGAAAAGAATATCGTCAGGCAATTGAAAAAGGACATGGCGGTTACTTGATGGATCAAGAACAACCGGTATGACAACAGAAAATTATTGAGAAAACGGCATAATTGCTTTTCCTTAACATAAGGCTGATATTCTAATTTTTTGACGAATCACACATTTAGAAACGTGTGCATCAAAAGATAAAGCGTATGTCATACGTAACTCGAAGATTCTTATCTGAATATATCAATATTATTAATCACATAAGTATTAGATCGGCGATATATGAGAAAAATTGAGCGTTAATTAACTGGATATGTATTTTAACAAATTTTCTATTAGTAATGTGTATCACGGTTAAAAACAAGTGTCTTATAATCAACTCATCAAGATATAAACTAGCGGAAAAAACTTAGAAAAAAATATGTTTTTGTCTTTCTCATGAATTGTAGTAGCTACAATAAATCTTAAAGCAGATTCGTACAACACTGATTTCAATTGTGTATAAGTATATTATTCAAGTAATTTCAAGTTAACTCGAACCTGTTTAGAGAAAACGTTTTTCAGAAATTCAGAATCTCTAAAAATACTACTCTTTTTAAAATTCATGTCAAACGTGTTTTCCTTCCGAAGCAGAAAAACATATCGACTATCGGGCGATTTAGCTAGTTAACTCTATATACTACCCGATATAGCTAGCTAGCAATTCGAATTAGGTTGTTTACTATCGGTATAATATATATGCGATCCAAAAACGTTTCAATTAACAGTAATGGTATATATACAAGGGGGGAAAAGCGTTTTGGAATGGTATGGAATGATACGGAATGTCCCATTCCAGCTCACTCCACTTCCGCCCCTTGTATACATGCCGATAAAGTTCATCGAGTTTTATATGACACATGCTCTGTCTTTTGTGACCTGCACGTTTCTGATTATTAGTCTAAAGAATCAGAGTATCAAACTAATTTATTTAACGATTTTTTTCACAGGAAATTTTTAGCGTTTCTGTTGGGAATTTACCGGCAAATTGTGAAGTCGTTATTAAAATTACATACGTTGCTGAATTACCAATTGAAAATGATGATGTGGTTTTTCGTCTCCCGGCAAAAGTAGCAGCATGGCAATCTAAAATGGCTATTGACGATCACAATCAAGTAGGCCTTATTTTCTGGATTTTATAAAACTTATACAGGGTGGCCCAAAAAAGCTTACTCCCTCTCTATTTATTGACTTTCTTGTGTACAAATATGATTGAACATTTTACCATCAGTTTAGTCGAGTAGAGAAAGATTTCTGGACAAAATGAAATGTCTCTGAGTTCTGTTTGAGCTTTTCTCATGAAACAGCACCCAGTTTACGGAAGGATACCACCAAAATTAGTACAATTAACGGGAAAACAAGAAAGATACGCTCTTAGGGCCTTCCGTAAATTGAATGCCGTTTTATGAGAAAAGCTCGAACAGAGCTCAGAGACATCTCATTTTGTTCAGAAATCTTTGCTCTGCTCGACTAAACTGATGATAAGAAGTTCGATCATATCTGTACACAAGAAAGTCAATAAATACAGAGGGTATAAGTTTTTTTGGGGTCACTTAAACTTTCTAAATCCTGCATTTCTCAAGCGAATATGAGATTTCAGTTAAGGGTAGCCATCTCATTTCTGACCTATTATAACCTCGCAACGTCAGTTTTTGACCGTGATTGTTCTTCAAAAATAAAAAGTACATATTTTGCTTATGACTTGTATACGATTTCAATAACAGATTTTCCAGAAAATCAGATTTTACGTTAGATCGATCCACGGAACGAAATTTTTACCATTGAGCAATTGATATTTTTAAGGAGATGTCTGACGTTCATGTAGCTTTTGTTCATAGTCTCTTTTCTGGCAGAAGTTTCATTCTCTATTATAGTGTGTTTATCTCTCAACTTCCACTGTTATTGGGGAGAAAGAGAGAAAAAGAGTACGAGGTATATTGTTTGAGCAAATTATTTTCTAATTCACTATTACAACGAATATTAACAACAGTGAAGGAATAGAGACAGATAGTCGTCCAATATCTATTTTTTTCGTGTAGCAGAGAGTCATGACGTCTATTGTACATAAAATATTTTCAGTATGCATAATTTTCTACCAACATATCTGCATTCAGACCTCCTAAGGTGTCAATAATTCAAAATTCGAGTAGATATTATTTTTCGTTTATTCTCACATATGCGGATAGAGCACACTGGGTTATCTATGAAAAAACGTATTTTAGGTTTTCAAAAAAACGTTTAAGGGAGATAAGTCAAAAAATAATATAATTTTCAAAGAAGCTAAAACCCAGCTAAATTTACGAAAAAATGCAAATTTTTCGTGTTAACACTGTTTGAACTTTTCAAACCGTGATATACTAAAACAGCGTTCAAGACTAACGGGGCAACCGTTCCACATGATCCATCCTATTTTCAACTATATTTCGCCAATATGCAGACCCTGTTGGCCTGAGAAAAAGCCTAAAAGGATTTAGGTCCCTATTACTGCGTTCAAAATTTGTGGAATTTTTTCGTTTGCAGCGAGAAACGCGATCCCGAGTATATGGCTGAATCTCGAAAACTCAAAACCGAAAGTGAAATTCATAATGCATAAGGTCGAAAATAAGAATGACGAAAACCTGAAATATAGAAAACAAAAATGACGAAAGAGCGAAATACTGAAAACCTGAAATGTTGAAACGCAGCATGTCGAAGGGTAAAAGCAATGGAAACGTGAGTTTTGGAAGCACACTCGTATTTCGAAAATGTTTCTTGTTCATAATTTTCCCGATAGTTCTGCAACTCTTTTGTGCAAACGGTCATTTCGTTTTCAAGTGAAATATTTTGCCGTTCTGTTTGATGAGATGATATTAACCAGAAAAGAGCATAGTTCTCGTAGCTCGATAGATTTATCTGTCAACTATGACGAATTCTTAACACATGGTGTTTCATTGTCTTAAATCTAGTCACACTCATCGGCCCGCTGACACACGCATTTTATTATGCTTACTGGCTTGTCGTTTTTACAGAATAACTAAATATTTTGGAGACAGGAATCGCTTCTAAAACTCACATTTCCGATGTTTTTACCTTTCGACATTCTGCATTTTCGATATTTCAGATTTTCAATATTTCTCTATTTCATCATTTTTGTTTTCTACGTTTCAGGTTTTCGTCATTCTTATTTTCGATCTTATGCAATCTGAATTTTCATTTTGAGTGTTTTGAGTTTTCGACCATAGGCTTGCATACCGTGATCCCTAACACTAATGTTTTTTACAACTCAGTCATACGTCGAGTTAACAGCTTCACTTTTTTTCTCACCTTGGTCTAATCATCTACTAATAATCCCCACTTTAACTTTAATAATACTAATGAATAATCGAATTTTTATGTTTTGCCTAAGCGACGCATCTTTTCTGGTTTTCACGTCTTGACCTCTTTGTCGACAATAAAACTGAAAAAGGTCAAAATTCATTAGAAATCTATATATATTTTTAGACATTATTGCCATCGATCGGTATAACAACTGATTCAGTTGCTATTAATCAAATACAATTTAGTTTAAAACTATCTATACAAATGCCATATGATATAGAAAAAATATTTTCACCAACACATCGCATACGTCGAAAAGTTACCGATTGTCAAGCTATGATTGAATTAATTGATAATATTTTTGATAAAGATTTTATATTAACAATAAAACTAAAAACAATTAATATACCAAGAATGTTAGTTGAAACATATCCAAATTCAGAATCAAAAGCATGTATGTTAACATTTTATCCAAAATTTGATTATCAAACAAATAGTAATATAACTGAAATTATTTATCTGATTGATGTATCAAATTCAATGGATGGTAAAGCAGTAAAACAAGCAAAACAATTGGCACATTTGTTTATATCAAATATGACAATTAATGACAACATCCTATTTAATATTGTTACATTTGGTTCAGATAATGATGAATGTTTTCCAATATCATATCCTGGTACAAAAGAAAATCTTGATAAAGCAAAACATTTTGTATTACATTCAATTGTTCATCGTGGTAATACAGATTTATTTCCTGTTTTAACTAATTATTCATTATTACCATCAAAATCTGGACGAAATTTTGTATTAATATCCGATGGCCATCTAAATGATATAAAATCAATTATATTATTATTAAAACAACAACAAATGAGTCATGATCGATGTTTTACATGCTCAGTTGGTGATACAGCCAATAAACATGCTTTAAAACAATTGACAAACTGTACGGATAGTGGTGGTGGTTTAGCAACTGTATTCGATACAAATTATCGCTCTAAATGGAAAACTAAAGTATAGAAAAGTCTTCATTTTATTCGAATTACTGATGAGAATTTTCTTTCCTTATAGGTATTAAATATTTTGGAAAATATTCGCCAACCATGCGTTAACGGAATTGTTATTGATTGGCATAATGATGAATTAGATGAAAATAATAATTATCAATTTTTTAAAGCACCATCACATATTAACTCATTATTTAATGGTATGCGTTTAACAGTATATGGTTTTATTAACAATTGTTACAAGGTAGGAGAAAAATTATACAATAAACGAGAATGAAACTGACATCATTCTTCCAATTTAAAAAGGTAACGTTGAAAGCAAATATAAATGGCCATGAATTACGAACAACTGTGTTTTCGAATAAAATGACTGAAACAACTGGAAAAATATTACATTGTTTAACAGCACGTGCTATTATCGATGATTGGGAAAATGGTTTATTAAATATGGATGATACAACTAATGAAGTAAGTGAATACATATCTTTTCTTAAAGCCCTGTCACCAGTTTCTGAAAGTTAGAGAGATTTTATATACTTCTCGAAAACTTTTTAAATTTCTCCTTAACTAAACTTATATTGAAAAATTCAACGACGTTACGACATAGAAAAAACATTTCTCGATTTTTTGAAATCAATCCGAAATTTCTTACTCTAAAAATGGCGATGGAATCTTGGAAGTACGAAATCATACTTTTTCACCACTAATTTACGAATAACTTTGGGAAAATGTTACTTAAATTTGTTACTGATGTGTACGTAACTTTTAGTTAATAAAATCTCAATATAAGCAACATATTATTGACTTAAGTACAAAATATTCAATCGTAAGTCCATTCACAAGCTTTGTTGCTATTGAAGAACGAAATAAAGATGATGATAAACAAGTAAAACAAGGTAATAATACTCGCTTATCTATTTGCAATCACAACTGATTAAGATATGATTAAAAGTTTTTTTCATTCGATAGGTGTTCGTTTATTAGATATTATGCTGAAAAACGATACGGATCTATTACCATATATTGTTTGGGATGGTGAAAAATCGCAAGTAAGATATTTCAAGTCCATAGTAAAGCGGATGTAGGAGCAACCGATGAATAGTTTTTTTTCCAGTATCTTCGTCTTCCGCTTCACTATCTATATGAAATTTTTTCTCTTTTTATTTTTATTTCTGAATTTCTTTGTTCAATATATTTCTTTTCCTAATTTTCAAACATATATACAAGTATAAATACGAAGTTCAACTAACCGTTTGTACGTACCGAGACGGGGAAAAATAAACTGTGAGTTTTGTTTTTGATTCTGGTTTCTTAAAGATGCAAATGTATCTTATCTCTTTTCAAATTTTTTTCTAATTTCTGATTAAGTTAACATTTCATTAATCCTAATCAAACTGAAGATTTTCACTGTTCTTTCTGAAATTTCGCGAATAAGTGATAATCAACAAATACGAATGTTTGGTGTCGTTTGTTCGAACTCCATGTTGGTCTGTTTTGTTTATAGTCAGCATTGTTGAAAGAAAAACTTGTTCAGATTAAAAAATTAATTGAATGTGCATCGATCCCAAGCAAAAGTCAATTATGTCCAGAATTGCTCGCATTATGCAAAAGTGTTTCTTATCGTCAAGGTCAAGAAAAATTTGATGCCATGTTAACATTGATCGAAACATATTATTATTCATTGAAAAATTATGAAGAAGCTAGACAACTTTTAAAACAACTGAAAAATGGTTTGAAAGAATTTTTGTTATATATAGCTAAGCTTACATTTTCTATTTGATATGTTGTCTGTATATAGATGTCAAAGCAGAAATTGATACGTCAACTTGGGAAGAACGAACAGAAATGGAAAATCGTATGAGTACAATAGAATATTTATTCGGTGAAATGTAAGAAAGAATAGAAGAGTAAAAAAAACCATAGAATTCATAAATCTTGTGTCATTTCTGTCTGTTCAGATTACCAGAAGTGTCACCGGGCAAAACGGTAAGAGATTATTTTCTTAGATTGAGATATGGTCGAATTCTTGATATCTGTTAATTATCAGCTAGGGTGACTCATAGAAGAAAAGGTTTTATGTGTGTTGGGGGACGAGTGGAGGACTATTAAATAAAAGGGTTATGCAACCAAAGGTTTTTTTGGGGAATGGCCTTTTTCCGGTTTTTTCAAATGGGTTTTACTGAGAAAAAAATGAAACATTTCTAATAGTAGCATAGCAAGTGCACATCTTTCTACACCCTCGCAGCGTCATCGTTGATCACATAACGTTTATCTGTGATTACCTTGGTTACTTGACTGAAACCCCGTTAAGTGATAACATAAAGTTCCTCTCAAGCTAACTGACAAAAAAATGTATACTCCCCGAGCACTGGTCTTCTATACTGTCCGACAAGTCGAATATTAAAGAGTGGTGTTCTGTTGCGGTCAAATTTTGTCGCCTGCTAGTTGTCTAACGGTAACCCCCCATATACTTGAAGTATATACCCTATTCAAACAATTAGAATTTTTAGATTAGAATTAGATTAGAAGACCATGGTCTTCTATTTGGCTTTCAAGTCGTATAACTGGCAGTGGTCTTCTAATAGAGAATGGTCTACTATTATGTGGGGAGGGAAGTTACTTGCTTAAAAATCGTCGGATACAATTTTTATTGGTTCAAAATATCCTAACGACCAAAAGTATAAATGATAATTTAAAAAAGATAATCTTGAGTAAAAATTGTCGCAAAAAATTTAATCACGTAAGATTTGTGTGTTGGTAGAACGGCTTTTGCCGAGGGCAAACTTCTGTGCGCTTAGTTAAATTGAGATTGATTGATTTCAGAAGAAGACACACGTATCCAATAAATGGGGTGGAATAATCTTCGCTAGTATAGCAGGGTTTTCGCTCTTCGCCAACTATTGGTGAATGTCCGGGTGATGTATTGACGAAAGTCACGTAAACTTTTGCCAGTTAGCGAAAAGGAATGGATGAAATTGGCGAAGATTCTGTGGACTCTCGCCAATACTGGCAAACTTCCATAGGAACTTCGCAAATATTGGCGTGAGTTCACAGAACCTTCGCCAAATGCCAAGACAGAGGTGGAGTTAGCGAAATTCGTCGAACCTCGGCCAGTATTGGCGACATAGTTGGCCGCTTGAGTCCCCTCGATTCATGTACTGTATTGATGGTCGGAGTTGCCTTCAAGTCAAATATTGGTGAAAATCTAGTGGAGGTTCACTAGATTGCTGAAAACACAGGAAAAGACACCGAATTCTCACCAAGTACCAGAAACCCTCTACTCGAAGAGCGCAGCGGACTTTGGCCAATAATGGCAAAATTCCACCGGAGTCTTGCCATTTGACGAAAGTCAAGTGATCGTATTGGCAAGGGTCCACATGACTTTCAGCAATTGGCGAAAGTTCACATGCCACTCGCCATTGGCGAAAGTCATATCGGCGAAGATACTGTTAACCAGTATAGTCTCTAGGTAACTTTCATGATTAGATAGAGTTCCAAGTGAGCTTAAATATGGCACACCTTAAATTTTGTAAAAATTTTATTCGCAAGTTTTAGTCCTATGTCTTAATTGTCGATTCTATAGGTCTGAGATCCGAAAACCGACTGCGATTGTGGTCACCATCTTGTGATTGACAGACAGTTTTATATGATTCTAGACTTACGATCAAGGGAATAAATATTATTGCTCTTAAACACAACGTTGTACAGTGTCAAAGTTAGTTTAATTTAGAGAGAAGAATGTTGACTAATTTATAATGTACTTGAAATTTCCTTCGCTTTGAGTCTGGAGTTGGGAGAATTTTTCGAGGTCCGGTTGTCTATAAGTCCAAATTGGTCAATATGATAACTATTTTCTGCTCTATGGCAGACAATAAGTCTCACTCTCTCCTCTTTTCTCGTTTCCCCTTATAATTTCTTACAGGTTCTCTTTTCTTAACTTTAAATTTGAGATGGGAAAACCTATTGTACATGACCTACTGGTAGAAGAACAAATAGCAGAATTTCAAGAAGCATTTTCCTTATTCGACAAAGATGGAGATGGCACAATAACAACAAAAGTATTAGGTAATAATATCGAAAAAGTTCAATTTTAAGTTGAATTTTTAAATGATGAATAAATAACACATTTTAATTTTCTCTTTTCTTATAGGTACAGTTATGAGAAGTCTAGGTCAAAATCCGACTGAATATGAATTACAAGATATGATTAATGAAGTTGATGCAGATGGTAAGCGTTTTTTTAAACTTCCACCAGAAACCATTGAGAGAAATCATAATGTGACGAGATTTATTTTTGCTTTTAAAAAGTTCTCTCATTTCAGCAGCTCTTGAAACCTTTTCGTTCTTGCGTTTAAAATTTTAATTCTGAAAATGTCAGTTTTTCCTACATAATGCACCTGAAAGCGAGTAAATGCATGTAAAACTTATCTTGAATTACACAACTTTCATGAAAATCAATGAGATAATAAACCCACAGGGATAATATTGATATTCGAGAGCCTCTCTCCGTTGGAAGTAATTGTGCTTTTGGAGATAGATATTTCCATGTATGACTGAGTTTTTGGAAAATCGAGAGAGGGTGATCTAACCTAATTTGTCTAATCTAAAAAAATCTAATCGAATTTTTTCCATATGTTACAGAGCATCATATGCTATTAATAATCTACTTATACTTACTATACGTCATACAACATGGTGCAAATTATAAGATACTAAGACAAGTGTTCGGGCCATAGTTACGAACTGAAAAACGCACTTATTCAGTAGCCTGGTTTTACAAAAACACCGTCCACCCAAAGTGGAAAACATCTATTGAACAGAATAGATTACAGGTAGTTAACTAACGATGGGGACATATAGTAGACATCAGATTAGAAAGTTTTATGATTTATAAGTGTGAATTAATGGAATTACAAAAATTATACTCTCCCTGTGACAAATATCTAACCTATACGATTTCTTGGAAAAATACAACCATAAATAATAAACCTTTCACCATATATTTAACTGGATGTCTAACTGAATAAATAAATTGTTAACTATGTTAACATGTGATCTTAGTATATCTTATAATTTTCGTCGTAAATGATCACTTTTTGATGCAGTATTCGAATTTGACCGTTATCCGGAATTATACCCAATTTTGAAAAAATAGTTATCAAAACGTAAAATAGTGTATTTTGTAGAGAATACATTACTCTTTAAAATGCTGTATAAACATGACTATTTGACGTGAGACATCTGCTTCTAAATAGATCGATCTGTCACCACGTCTAGATTACAAATATAATCTTGGTTTTAATAGATAATTTCGAATAACGTAAAATACATTAGGACTCTTTTTCGCAAAATTTCGATTTTTTCAGGTTTTCGACCCACCTTCAGTATTTCGCGTTTTTTTCCATGAAGATCTGACTTTCTCGAACTAAAAAGGTGATATTTGGAATCAGCATGATTTTTTTCTATCAGAATATGTGTGAAAAAAGTCAAAATGTAAATCTTTTGAAAAGCCAACAGGTAAATCCTTTGAATTAGCGGCGCCTTACAACACTCTTCCTCCCTGTTTGGTTTATAACTTTTTTATTGCTGTATACTTTTCAGGAAGGATATATAGGGACATATCAATGGGCACTCTAAATAAACCATTCATGTTTATCAAATGTCAATTTATCAGACGAATTCCACCGTAGAACGGCTAATAACTTCTTCCTTTGTTTGCTATAAACATGTTGAAAATATGTCTCGGTATCGACTACACTCTTTAAAAAGAAAACATATATTACAAAACCAAAATACAGCATTTGCATATGTAACCATACGCAACGCATTTCTGTTTTTATGGGCACAACAATGCCCATAAAATTTGAAAATGATTTGGTCGCCCGTGATAAAGAAAAACGTTTAGCTCGAAAAGCGGGCACTAGAGTTAATTCTTAAACTGGAAAAACTAAAGTCAACTTAAGAGCCATTGCACAGTAGAGACAGACGTTTCTCGCATAAGTTGCTCAATCAACGTCTGAGGTTTTTGTTCACATTTGCACGATAGATAGTAGCGACACACTTAGGAAGATTCCCAAAAGCTTTTCACCGAAACTTCATTCAAAAGTTATCAAACTTTTCGTAAAAAAAACAGGCTCAAGCGATAACTATATAAAAGTAGAATTTCTTTTGTTTATATCTTGATCTAGAAAGTAGATCAAGACTCCACAGTTGAAGCATAAGTAGTCGACGTTGAGTATTATCTATATTCAAAAACATGTGCAAAAACTACTGTCGCACATGTGCGAACGTACATGCACAACAAGGAGGAATTTCACTAGCGCGATGACTTTCACATAAGTTATTTTTACCTGAAAAATATGTTATTGTAATTAATATTATTTATATCTGTTGTATAAGCGTATCTTTACTATAAACTATGAAGTCATTTAGTACAAGTCTCTTAGTTGTTGTATAATGAGCTCAAAAGGTGTAGAATATGAATTGCCTATTGCCAAATCGGTTTTCTTAATTGCAAAACAAGCAAAACCGAAGTTGAATATGCCGTAAATCCGAAAGTATAGTTTGACAACCTGATATGTGTGCTGATCATTGGTATATGAGTGCCAAAATTTCGAGAGATATCGGACGAGAAAACAGATTTGCAAAAACAGGCCATTTTTCATATTCTACACCCCTTTGAGCCCATCGTTTAGCAACTAGGGGATTTGTACGAAATAACTTCATAGTTTGTAGTAGAGATACACTTATACAATAGATATGAGTAATATTAAATGCAATAACATATTTTTCAGATAAAAAAAAACTTTGCGAAAGTCTTCGCACTAGTGAAATTCCTTGTTGTTATTTGTCAGTCTGTTTTTAGGGCTTTTACGAAAATAAACATGAACAAAAAACTCAGACATTGATTGAGCAACTTATGCGAGAAACGTCTGTCTCTACCAGAGACCGAAACAGGTGGAGTCCGGTCGGGTCCAGGCATGGGCGAGTCCGGGAGGGACCGAGTCCGAGTCCTCAAAAATTTATTCCGAGTCCGAGTCCGAGTCCATTTCGAGTCCGGTAATCTTTTAGATTCTTTTCTGATGATTGTGGTTCATTTCTTTTTTTTTCTGTGCCATTTAATATATCAATCTTGTTGAAACAGAAAAAGTTACTGAAGTAAACTTCTATTACATTTTAACAATGCCAGTTG